GCGCTGCTGAAAGCTCAGAACTTCGAAGGTGTCCTCATCGAATGCCCAAAATTGCGACCCAAGTTTGAGAAGCCCTCTGGTTAGGCCGTCAACTCAAGTATCGACTGAAATCCCGGGCAATGCTAGCGAGGTCCGTATTCAAGAAGGCCTGTGCCAACAGACGAGTGAACCGGAGTGGATAAGGTTCAGCCAGCTTTGTGTACCAACAACCATTGGGGGCGTGGCCAGTAAGAGGGACATGAGGCTTCCCACTCAAAAGGCAGCAGGCCCGCTTGGTGCCGATGCAGCGATAAGGTTGAAGCAAATCCAAATTGATGTGTATGCCCATGATTGTTGTTGGCTTTTTCCATGGGGTGCCAAACATGCAAAAATCAACATGTGCTATGCAAGCTGCACGTCTACGCATGAGACGCTGGACACTGCTAGTGATCCATAGTCGCGATCTCCGGGGGTTTTCCAGCGTCATTGCAATCCCATAGTGGAGTGCCATCAACAAAACACGGCAGGAGAAAAAGAGCAGCACATTGCCAAGCTTGACCTTGAGCGCATCGTGAGGTTTTAGGCCTGACAGGCCCATGGGATACTTGTCGCTCCGGAGGGGTGGCGGTCCCCCGGGTTGATCCCTGGCCCTCGAGAAGTTGCACGGTGTCCCCAAATGACCAGCACGAACTTGGCCAGTCTGAAGCCAATGCAGGATCTTCTGTTGATTCAACCGGCTGGTCAAATCATATTCCGGGCCATAGGAAATGTCCCAAAATAAGACAGGCCACCCACAAACACGATGTATGCTCTTCCCAAGGCGACCGCAACCACTAAAGATCTCCAAAAACACTGCAAAATGCAAAACCACTCTATTGCTCAATGCAGGCTGCGGAAACTTTTGGCCATGTCGCGGAAAGCCTCGGTGCAGCGCTTCTGAACTGCCTTTGGGAGGGCGGCGAAAAGTTGCTGCAACCGGCCGCCCTTTTCGTAGTTCTTGACCGACTTTACTGTCTGCCAAAGGCCCCTGGCTTGGATTCCCACCATGTCGCGGTGCTTGCCAGCCGCCTCGAAACTCGCCCCCCCGTGCCTCAAACGGTAAAGGTGAGGAGGGCCGAGGCTGGTGAGCCGCTGTGCCTTCCATTGCTGACCCATGAAGTCGTTGATCTCCTCCAGAGTGACACTGAAAGCCGGGTCGTCCTTTGGTCGGCTTGCCAGGTTCAGGATCTTGAACAATGTCGGGCCCACAAACTGTTGATGTGGGAGGTCCAATGTCAACATCTCGTCCCATTGCTTTGTCTTTGAAGGAATCCCCGCTTCGGTGGGGTGTAGCAGCACGGCATAGTGGGGGTAGCGCCGGCCCCTGGTCTTCACTGGGGGCACTATGTCTTGCACCCTCAGTGTTGTGATCTCGGATGGCCTCAGGTAGAGTAGGAACACCAGTTGGAGGGCAATGGCCAGCTCCACCTTCCCGCTCTTTAAGGCCACTTGACTGAGCAAACAAACCACCTCGTATGGAACTGGCAAGCGACTCCGAGCCGGACACAATCGCCTCCAGCCCTTCATCGCCTGCTGTGACTTCGGCAGCTGGTGTAGGCCCTTTGTGCCTGGGACCTTGAACATCACTGCAGCCGTGGCATAGTTTGCTTGGCTCAGATCTTCTCCTTTGTGGTAAAGCATCTCCAGATAGTCGGCAAGGTGGTTGTCTATCGTTGGGAGACTCGCAGCCTCGCTCACCAGACAGCCTGTCCACTCGACAAAATCTTTCCAATGCTTGTTGTACTGCTGCAAAGTCCGGGGCCCCACTGCATTGTTCCGGAGAGTGTGCTGTGGATCCGCCTGCTTTGCTCTTGCTCTTCTTGCCGCCCTCTCTTTCCTTTTTGCCCCGCCACTTGCGGTGCTCATCTCTATGTCCCATGTCAACGGGGCCATGGGTGGTATCGGTCCCGTGGGCGTGGAGACCCCACTGCTCTTCGGTTTTGAGCAGCGGCTTTTCTTTGAGGGTCTGTCCCATGTGGCCTGTACTCCCAGTTGGCGGTGTATCATCTGCCTGAAGGAGCCTCGGTGTGGAAGGTGTCCATCCACTCCGGCTGGGACGGTCAGCTGGATTCCACTCTGACGGGATCCAACGAGACCTGAAACAGAGCCCTGAGCCCAAACACAACGCCGCTGTCTGCTGAAGAACTCTTCTCAATCGGAACCCTTGGGATCGTCCTTTGTCAAAGGAAACTGCTGCTGTCATAGAGTCTGTCAAAATCACGAACCTAGTTTGCTGGTTGCCAACAGTCCTCAATGAGTGCCTAACAGCATATTGTGTGGCCCTAGCTTCAAAAACCGGCATGCTCTCCTCACGCAACCATCGGTGCCTACCAACCAGTTTCCATGATCTGTCAACAAACTCAAAACCAACAGCCTGAAACTTCGACGCCAACTCCGGCACACCAAATACGGCCCAAGTCTCCGCCTGCTCTCTTCCTTCCGCTGTAGCGCCAACTGCCTGAGCCGCCAGTGCATGACGTCTTGGATTCTTGGCCAGCGGGTCTTTGAACCTCCACCTCTCTGTGTACTTCCCCAACATCGAAGCTTCGTCACGGGTGATGTTTGAAGTGGTGACTCCCATTCCCCAGTCCGAGGCGTCAACGGAGTACAAGGTGGTGGACCATGGTGCACGCAGGTTGACAAAAATCAGGGGTGAGATCCCGTCCCATGTGCTCAGCTCTTTCCTCACACTTTTCCACAAAGGCGCAACTCTGGTGTAGTTCTTCCGGGTGAAAGTGTAGGTCTCACCCAGCACTGATAGAGCCTCCCTGCGGCACAGGGAGATGAAGGTGATGTGCCCGAGCAGCCTCTCTAACTGTTGGCCACTTGCAGCATTTCTCCTCAAGATCTCACGGACAGCCAGCCTAGCCCTCCATAGTCTTTTGAGGGTCGGGCCGAAGAGTCCAGCCCGATCGACTGCCCAGCTCAGCACCTGACATTCCCCTTCATTCACCTCTACCTCGTGCACTGTGAGCCCACGGCCCCGAAGGGCCTCAACTGCCCGCCAGAAACGCTCCTCGACAATTGCTTTGTTTGTACCAAAAACATGGAGATTGTCAACATATTGAATGTGCCAAAAATCACCGGAGGGAACACTGCTGCCATCTCTGAGCCGCTCTGAGTTCGTCAGCCCTGCTTCTTCACAGATCCTCTCATTGATCCGCTGGCACCACACCATGGCATGCGTCCATCCCATAGGAATGACAGACACCACAGGGTATATCCAGTCACCCGGACGAAGTGGGCTGCCCCCCAACGTTGTCAGGCCCATGCTCTCTGCCGTGACTCGCCTCAGACCAAAAAACGGCCTCAACGCTTCCGGCATTGCCATAGTGTAGAAAGCATTTTGCAGGTCTGCTGAACAAACATAAAGGGGTGCCTCCTCGGACAACTCCAACCGACCAATGCTATCACCTGTGGCCAGGTGGATTCCCTCCGGCTCCTCAAACCAGCAGTTGGCCCTGCGGCAATCCAGTATCAGGCGGAGTTTTCCGCCTTTCTTCTTGACAAAGAAAATGCCAACTCTCTCCACTGGGGCTTCACGCTGAAATGAAACCAGGTTCAAACGATGCAATGTCTGTATAAACGATCTGTACTTGACGGGGTCTCTGAGTTGTGGATCCTCATAACATTTCACGACACCACTCGCCTCCAGCCTTCTATGAGCCTCTGCAGCCCCAAGCGTCTGAGTGCGAGTGAAATCCTCCACCTCTTGTTGCCCGTCCTTGCCCCACAACGTAGCGAGTGGCACTGGCTGTTTGTCTCCCGCCGGCAATGAAACAAGTTCGGGATCGAAGGACCCGAGTGGCGATGCCGTAGGCAATTCGGCATACCCCTCTTGAACCCGAAGCTCCTCAAGGGCCTCTGGGCCGGAGAGGTCAGGGGGAGCCCCAACCCTCCTGTTTGCTTGCTCAATGAATTCAAGAAAACGTGTCTGAGCCCGGCTAGGGGCCTGCTGTGGAAGATGAACTCCGCCTCGCAAACCCTTGTCAGGCCGGCCGTACATCGCATTGAGCGATTGGACCGTGTGCTCAACCTCCTCCTCAAAATGCCTCCTCCGGCCGATCCTCTGACGGCTCTTCCGCGAGAAAAGTCCCAAGGGTGGCAATGTATGCTGTACATGAGGTAAAGGAAAAATATCTCTGTCTGTCTTCCGGGTGTGGTCAAGTCCTGATTGCTCAACAGGCCAGCTAGGACCTTCACCAGCCTGCATCTTGTAGTTCAAGGGTTCTCCGACTGCTTGCCGCCCTTGCGCCTCGCAGCCTCCCTTTCCTCACGAGCCTTCCTCAAATTCTTGGCCAACGATGCCTCCCGTTCTGTTTCTTCTTTGACGTGGGTCAACAACTCTGGACAAATCATCAGGGTGGAGAATTGGCGAGTCACCCCGCCAAACGTCGTTTGCTCTTCGAGGGAGAGCCTCCCGCCCACAGATTTGGCCTCCAGTTCACGTGCTTTCTCGGAGTAGGAGAACTCGATGGTTTGTAGCCGCCTGAATTGTACCTCAATGCTCAACAAATTGAAGGCGTCCAACTGGTCGACCAACAAGGCCTGTCTGACGGCCATGGAAACTTGGAAGTGCTCTTGAATGCCCCAACTGCTAGCATCCGCCTTGGTGACCGTCCTCAGTCTTTCGTGGTGGCCCTCGAAGCCTAAGTTTTCGACTGCCAGGTAGGCCACACACCAACGAGCAATCCTCGGTCCCGTGAGGGACCATTTCACCTTGGACTCCTTGCAGAGCTGGGCCACGTCTTGAAGGCTTCTCTCTGGAGTTCCCATTGGGTTCAACTGTATGGGAAGGATTCGGTGGTCGTTCAACGATGGCCTCTGACGGAAAGCAAAGTAGTCCTCCCCCGCCACACACTCAACAAAAATGCGCAGCCCTCCAGGGAGGTCTTGAACATGCTTGCTGCCCTTGACCAATGGTTGTGTCACCGCTGCAACCTCTTGCCCATAACAATAGCCCCCCAAACACTCAGCTGCCAACCACTTCAACTCACCAGATGGAAATCCAGCCTCCGGATCAAAGGCGGTGACAGCCGGTGCTGCGGCGGCTGCTGCGGCCCCAGCTGCTGGGGGGGGCTGCCGGTGCTGCTCCTCGTTGGAGGTCGATGAGGCGTCTTGCTTCGTCCCTGAAACCTGCCATGTCATTGATGGTGAAGACTGGTAAGGCATATACCTCAGCAGCTGTCACCCCCCCAGGCAAGATCCCTGGACCGGGACGGATCATCATGCTCCTGATGTCGGAGTTCAACACTGTCAAATCCTCCAGATAGACATCACGGTCTGGCGTCACTATTGCATAGGTGTCGTTCTGGTAGTGCTCCAGGACATAGCGCTCGTGGAGCAAACGGCCTCCACCAACATCATACTCGATCAGGACCTGGCGATTTGCCAAAGCCATGCCTCCTCAGGCGCAACTCCGCAAGTTGCCTCTGTGCCAGCTGGTGTTTCGAATCGGGTGTACCAGGTTCCTCAATAGGTCCTGTAAATCGGCGGGCCCGCCAAATGGAAACTCCAATGAGCAGAAGTGCCAACAACAAAAAGCCCAATGCGGAAATCCCAACTCCAACCAACCAACCACTGGCCCCAACCTTGAACCCTGCCGGTACCCTCAAGCTGTCCTCCGGAAACTCTGGCAAGCTCGAGGGGTTTCCGACCGGCGAGGGGGTTGGAGGATCTGATGAAGTCGATACTGGCAGCAAATCTGAATGATGGTGCTCAACAGTGGCCTGAAGTTCCCAGACTTGATTGCGGAGCTGCCGTTGTTCTGCAATGCTCCAACCCAAAAGTCCAAGACCAACAAAATGAACGACCAGCAAGTATGGCGAACCGCCGCTGCCGAGACCTACACCCATTCCCCTTGTTGCTTGAGCGTGGTGTCATGCGGCCATTCGTAACCCATCAACTCATCAAACCTGTCAAGACAAATATAAGAGCGCGGGCATGGGAGAGCACATACATGAGAGCTTACACATTAGAGCACACATAAAGGAGCACACCTGTGAGAACACACCTATGAGAGCCCGCGCACACACATAAGAGGTTCACAGCATGCTTGGTTCGAGGTTCACACAGTGCTGCAATTGCCACATGTTGCCACGAACTCTGAACTTCGAGGTTTACAACGTGTTTTTGTTTGCCATGAGGACTGCGCTTCAAGGTGAAAACAAAGGCATGCGCCTGCCACGAAGTCTGAATGGTTCACAAAATGCTACCACCTGATCTGCACTTTGAGGTCACACGTTGCACCACGGGCGTTGGTGGGGCTGACGTCCGATGTTTTTCAGATGAGACGGAGAGGGCTGTTGGGCGACATCGAGAGAAGGCTTGGGCTTCCTCACAGGACGTGTGTGGCAAGGCCGAAGAGGGCGACATGAGGTGAGACGCGATGGAGAACTCGCATCCACCAGAAGTGACTTCGTGGTCATCCCATCGAACCGAGCGCGTTGTCCGTGGAAAGCGTTCCAAGTCGGTGAGTGGCTTCTCATACCTGAACAGGCTGTCAAGGTTCGAGAGCTGCGCCACCTGAGGCGATGCCGGCCTGCCGGGCCGTCGTCGTCTTCCGTCCCAAAAGCATCGCCCGCCACACCGGGCACGGTGTGTCTTTGGTGTTGAGCAGCTGATGGAGTAAAGCAACGATATGCTGAAAAAGCCGAAGCGCTGCACTGGATCTAGATCTGGGCACTGGATCTGGGCTCCTGATCGAAGGCATCCCGAAATCGCAAGAAGTCCGGCTGTAGTCCATGTACTTGGATGTCTTCACAAAGACTGAAACTCGGGCCAGGACCAAAGCAGTAAGGACAAAAATAGGGAGAAGCATGACAAGGCTGATTTTGAGAACAAAATGTACCCAACATTGTAAATTTCATATACGGTCATATACCTCACAGAAAATCCAGGCTGAACCAGCCTCTCAAGCAGCAGGTATTGGCGTTCGCAGGAAGAATACAAAATGGTCAGCAGGGTTGTCAGTAGAATTGTTCACCCATCTCCGATGCAAGTCGATCCCCAAATTCAGTTTCTTCCCTGACACCTGGACTGTTTCTACTAGCTTCTTGTTTCTCTTAATAGCTTCTTGTTTCTACTAGCTTCTCAGTTTCTTCCCTGACACCAAGATCACGCTTCAAGTGAACCATGTGAAACACAGGCCCATTCACGAATTCGAACAAGCAGGATCCAGCAAGAGCTCGCCCCCGGATCCATGCCAACCTGGTGGGTGGAGCAAACCCTCACTCTTGGAACCCCCCGCTTTGGTGTCTTCAGATGGTATGTCTTCGTTAACTCGGAGCCTTCACGCCATGCCCTAAACCCGAAACCACCACCATGTTCGTTCCAGCTTTCATGTACTGCGCTAGCTCCCATCTTTGGAACCCAACCACTCAGGCCAGGCCGGTGAACTCCGGCGACCGCGCGGAAGCGGAAGGGCCGATGACTCAGGCCCCGAACGGGCTGGCCGGGCTGGCCGCCGCCGCCGCCGAACCTGAGGGCCGGTGAACACCAAGCTGGTGCTGAGAGCACAGCTGGAGCACCAGCTTAGTACCCAACGAGTACCCAAAACCATGCCCAAACACGACAAATGGGACTACCATAATTTACCTACATTGGGGTGGTTTGAAGTCGGGGGTCTTTGCCGGCATATATGACAGACATGGAGTGTCTGGGATGGTGTTTTGGCTTCGACGGACCATGATCGTCTTCGCAGTCGATGTCGGGAAATTCGAGCGGGACTGAGGGGCAATGGAGAAGCGTTTGGGGATTGTAAACGGCCTCCTTCAAAAGCATCCAAGATATAATATTGGGTCTATCTATTACCTGGTTGCCAGTGGATGATGATGTTTCAGTTGCAGGCCTTGTTCAACAATGATTATTGTTTACTGACTGTTACAGGTAAGTGCGGACAGACCCTAAAGATATAGGTCCAGGTACCAAAGAAACACATCTACTGAGAGCATGGCGGATTGTTGCGGACCCTCATTCCGCCTGGCGCACGCGGTTCGGGGGCACGCACGTTTCTGCAGGACCATGCAGGACCGCACGAGCGAGTGCCAGTCAGACCAGGTCCAAGATCGGTCTCCAAGACCTACAGCATCTTTGCTAAATAGTCCGACAGTCCTTTCGGCGGGGATCCTCTCTTCCATGAAAAAGGATTTAGGTTAATCCCCAAATGGAAGGGCCATCAAGCATCTTAAGGGTCATGTGTTTTCATTGATTTTCCTTGATTGCCTATTCTGGGATGGGCCTTTTTTCCGTGACGGATGCAGGCGTCCGGACAGGCTGCTGGAGTCTTTTTCGAGTCCGATTCCGTCGGAAAACCTTTCGGTGATGAACTGACCATCCAGCTTGCCGCGTGTCAAACACATTCATTCACCTATAGTCCTATAGTGGCAAGAAGAACATGTTACGTTTGGACCTGTAAGGATGAATTTAGATAGATGTTCATCTGCAAAACCAGCCAAGTTAGGCAGAATGTTTGCATAGTTGGTTCTTGCAGTTGGAGTCACCCAATGCTTCATGGGGGAGCACAGGACCAGTGGGGAGCACCCGAGCAGCGACCAGTGGCGCTTCGAATGCCGCGACCGGTGGGCGGGGCCCTCTGCCGGCACAGGCTGGAGCGTAACACATCGAAAAGAGGTGCTGAATGACCATACCCAGGCACTGCCAGGCACTTGGAATTCGAATTGGTAAGAAGTCCCATCGGATGGGTGGTGAAGGAAGTTCCTTCAAACATATTTCAGCTCAACAAAAACGACACCAGGCTATACGGAATCTGAAAGACATCACACAACATCACACAGCTCTAAGCAGTGAATCATGACAAACCTGGAATTCAAAGTCCTCACAAACGCACAAACGCTCCTTCCTGCCTCCGCCCCCCCAACACGCAGAACCGCCTGGTCCATTCGACATCCCCGCGGTCAGTTCACAAGCCGCTCGAGCATAGAGAATGGCGATGAGAATGGCTGTGGTAGTTGACCATCTTCCTTTTTTTACTGAGACATAGTTTTCTTTATAAATGCAGGATCAATCACACAGATTCCTGTCCTGCAATCCACGCCTTGATGCCAAGAAGAGACGAACTAAATGAACATCCTTCATACTGTATCTCCAAGTCCCCTAAACACACTGAACAGTTGGAGAGAAAAACCAGCAAAGAGAGGTCTTCCTCCCACCACAGTTGAGTGCGCCACCCCCGGATGGGCCCGTTCGACGATCCGAGCGTGGGTCAGCCCCATGGCGTGATCATGATCCGTTCCAACTGTAGCGAACCTTGTTCCGTCCGTAGCGATGCCAGGAGCCCCGTTCGGTTCGCGTCCGATGGCTCCTGGAGCCCCTTATAGTACCCAAACACTCCATGGGACTGCCATATATGCCGATCAGTTGGGGTGGTTTTGGGGGTCAATGTAGGCATATATGGCATACACGGAGTGTTTGGGGTAGCTTCTTGTTCCTGGGGTTTTGGAAACTTCATCTTCACATCGGGGGGTACCATGTCCGCAATCCGCAAGGAGAGGTTTCACAGACGGTGTACAGACAGAATGTTTGGATGCCACAAGATGTTTCGATAGATCGCGTTTGGCCCACAAAACACCAACTTGGAGAAGGTAAGTACAGTAGTTAGCATTAGCAAGAGTCACTCACTAACCATGGAGATACCATAAACTTTCTAGATTGCTTGATTGTGCTGTCCACAATCCCTCAACTTTCCCCGGTCACAACAACTGATTCTCACCAAGCACCATGTCTGCACAGTAGATGATGAAATGCCCCTCATTGCAACCGTTTTGGTCACACATATTCACATGCAAAACACTGAGACTCCGAAATCCATATCTGTTCTCAACAAAAACCTTCCTGTTTAAATAGGACTTGAGCCCTCCCTTCAAACACCAAACGACCGACCTGCAACCAACGACCGACCTGGAGCTCTTGAGCTCCGCCTTTTGGAACCGACCCAAAAGCACCTTGCGCAAGGTGCCGGTCAGACCCGGAACCTCTAGCCGCTAGCCACACCATGCCACACATCCCTATAGGGAGACACGTCTCGAATTCCAGCCTCGCTCGGGTTGGGCCTGTCTCGCTTCCAAAACATCTTTCATTCCCGAGTGCCATTTCATCCCCCATGTTCATGTTCCCAACGAAGTTTTGCCCAACCCTGCGAATTTCTTGCTACTTTCGCAGCAGGACTCGTTTCCTTGTTTGTGGGATTGCTCAAAGACCAACGTCGTGGGACAACGCTGGGGTTCGTTAACAGCTGCGCAGCTGGCGGCTTCGCCAGCGCAGCGTTCGCTCTGTACTTGCTCCGGCTGCCTCTCCATCAGCACCTGCGCAAGTGGATGGCGTGGCCCCGAAAGAAAGACTAATCTATTGATACCGTTCTACATCTTTTCCAACAAAAACATCAACAGAGGGGGGAATAGGGTCCAAACACTTCTGCCATCTTCTGCTCCATATTTCTGGGATCGGTTTCTTCACCTTTCTGAAAACCACCTCGACCGGACCGTGGCAGGACCCTCCATGATCTCCGACTGGTAACGACCACGAAATTCCCCGACGAAGTGAGTCACCGAAAAAACGGTGACATCGTGAGGATGAACAACTCCTGGCGAGGTGAACAACTCGGATGTGAAGAAACTCGTGCATGAGCAAACAAAGATGAACACATTGGCGCCCTACAGAGCTCGGGGTGTTACAGAGCTCGGGGTGCTGTGGCTCAAAACTCCGACGGGGCGCCCGGGGTGCTGTGTTCGGGCACCCCGAACCGCTCGCATGGAGTCTGCACCCTGTGCTCGGAACTGCTGGTCATAATGTACCCGGTTGATAAACAGTTTAATTGGTTTGAGGTCACTTTCAAGCTTCAAAAGACCAACTGTCACGGGGTGTTTGTTTCTATGAAGAGTTTAGAAGCATCCTATAGGAGTTATTAGATAGATGAATCCGAAAGGAGACCAGTCTTCTTTGTTCTTTGATTTCCCTTTTGTTCTATCTACTCTGAGATGCGTGCATCATAGTCAGAGATACTTAGAGTATGTTGGAGTAACTTTCCGAACTCATTTTTGCACCCACACCCCGTGCTTTGTCAAACTTTTTCCGGATGACCAACCGCTTCATGTCCAACCGCTTCTTGACCTGGCGCACTTCCAGGCGCCCCATCGTTACCTGGCCTTTCTCTCCGCGTGGATGGTTCTTTTCACTTCTTCAAGACCACCGCCAACCTCAACGCGCGGGTTTTCCCCAGTGGCCCAGCCGGTGTCCCGTCCGAGTCAGGAACGGATCCGGAGCACGAGTCTGTGGACGGAGTCGCGATCCACAAGGCATGGAACCCTATGTCATACACTCCATGGGACTGCCAGTCCTATGCCGCCCCATTGACCCCCCAAACCCACCACCCAACTGATCGGCATATATTTCATACATGGAGCGTCGAGCGTCTGGGTATGTCATGCTGGATGATGAAATCATGTTTCGCCCCAAAACTGGGGCAACTCCACCAAAGAACATGCTCTCCTTCAAAGTACCGACCGCTTCCACCAACCATTGCAGCGCTCGGTGTCGCTGCGATGTTCGCCACAACCACATCCACTGGGTGTCGCTGGAACCACCCAACCAGACATGTTCCGTTTCAGGGAGGTGCACATCAGGGCGTCAAACTGGCATGCGAAACGGTCCTTGATCTGAGAAACCGAAACACAGCGCAAGTCATGGGCTTGCAGGTTTGCTCAGGGCCAGCTAAGAACAGCTAAGCACAGTTGTATTCCTACATTGCGGAACCGAAGACCAGGACGTGCATGGGCTGGTTGTGCTGGTCTCAGCTGGGTATGC